GCCGGAAGCAGCGTCATCAGCAGCGACTTGAAGCACAGAGCAAATGATGCTCGAGATGGTTCAAGTTCGTATAGCAACAGGCGTGACCAGAGTGGTTTGAACGGCTGTTGTACTGCGATGTGGAAAGCAAATGGAAAAACTACCACATTATCACTTTTCCTGGATAGTCTCTTTCCAAAAACAGAAGATCGCATCAAGTAGAGGAACTGTTTTGGAAGAGACTGTGGACCTGTTGTCTGACAGATTACTGATGAATGAATGAAGAGGGCCATACCAGTAGTAACTGGAAGTACGAATGTTGCAGTAACATTTCTGTCTTCATATTTGTAAATTTATTACAAATTTTACTTTTTTTGAGAAGGGCATTGCAAGGATTAGCCAAACCCATATATCCATGCCTTTCAGGGTGATAATTTATTACATTCTGCAGAATTCTACTTCTTTCTGAGTAAGTCGACTCAAGCAGTAACACTTCTGACTTGTATTCAGGAGTTGGTCATTTTGAACCTTGGTCGACATATTAACTGTCCTGACTGAGGTTCCTCATGTTTCTACTCAGTCCTTCCAGACAAATGTTTGGCTAGAACCTCAGTTGGGCCATAACCAGTTCCTTCTAGATCTTCCAATTTATTATTAACTAATCATGTATAATTTGACTTTACAACTTGAGTTACTATCAGCACTATTAAATAAACTATTCTACTTTTTCTGTTCTTAGGTTTAAATGCTGTTTGCTCTTGTGTATATATATTTCTTCCACAGGTTTAAAGATTTCTAATTCACTTAATGCAATTTTATTCCCCCAACCCCACCCTGGGTTGCCACATTCTGCCTAGTAGGACTATTCAACAACTTTTTGTGTATGAATTATATTCATAGCCACCTTTTTGAGGTAATTACTTTATAGAATATCAGCCTCTCTTAATCCAGGCATGTTTAGGAACAAAATCGGCTTCTTCGTGGTGGTGCTCTGCTCATATAACTTCGATACTAATACTTATCATCATCATCACATGTAGCATGACTCTGGGGCCAATCCAGTAAATCCTAAGTGTTCTTATCTTAGGAGTAAAGCAGTTAGGATGTGAAATTTCACTTTGATCCAGTTCTAAGTTGGTCTCAACTGAAAATATTATTGCAGCATTAATCTTTCTATCATACCTTATAGTAGCATATGCTCCATAAATACGTACATCTTCAGCTAGGAGTACCCATATTTTACAGGTCAGTTGTCTATGATTTTATATATCTCGCTTGCCTTGATGCTTCTCTCATTGCCAATGAAAATCTTGAAATGAAGATGATATTAAAATTGATTTTGAAAAATAGAGTGAGAGGGTGTGGACTGAATTTATATTTATTATTTATGACTTTGAGAGTTGCAATTAGTTTATCAGTTCATTAGCTCAGGTGCCCGAGAAAGAAAAGTGCATTTACAAAATATATTATAATTCTGCATCTAAGTAGAACTTTCTTTAAATAGGAGGTTATGGCTCTGAATCAAGTTATGTCATATCCCTAACAGGAATCCCTTCAACAGCAAACTTATAAAACACATCAGATACTTAAAAGAAGACAAAATGAACAAAGTCCTGCAATGATTATGTCTGATGAGGTCATACCACTTCATACTTTGAGGCCCACCTACCCACTAATTTGCCCTTGACAGTGTTTTCCTTGAGACCACTGTCACAAAATTGCCCTTTTACACGTGAGTTTTCAGTAAGTTTTTATATTACTGTCAGCCATAGAAATGTTATTATTGTAGAATCTTTGAACTCATAGTACTTCTAGTGTTTACTGTGTAGATGGTATACATATAAGTACAGAAACACTAAAATTAAAAGTTAATTATGTTAAGATGACAGACAACAGAAAGTTTAGTATTGTTTGTGTTGAGAGAAATTAGTCATTATTACATGATTTTGATCTGGATGCAAACTGTGACAATAGTGATAGCTAGTCAGGAGTCAGCAGTGACAATTTTTTAGTTGTTGCCAAAAAAAAATCACATTTTTTCAACTCCTTTGTTTTAAAGAAGAACAATTTTATTTTTAGTAACACGGCTGTGGTGTGGTGGTCAAAGTTCCTGGATCTGTAGCCGGGTTCGATTCCCGGCACTACCAGATTTACTGAGAAGTAGTGGGTCTGGAACGGGGTTCACTCAGCCTTGTGAGGATAATTGAGGAGCTATTTCAAGGAAACAGTGGCTCCGGTCTAGAAAACCGAGATTAATGGCTGTGGGGATCCATTGTACTTTCCACACAGCACCCTCTATCTGCTGGTTGGTATAGTTTGCTTGAAGACTACAAGCCATGGAGTTTTCTTTTGTTTGTTAACAAAATGGTGGGTGTTGATATAAATAAATGTTCTATATTCCAATATTTAAGTAATTCATATATTTACATAAGGTCAGAAATTATGAACTCTTCTGAAAAGCTGTTTTTTCTTGCTAAGTATTCCACCAATGCAACACAAAGACTGGATAAACATTACATTGCTGACTTATTTATTTACATTATAACTCCAGTAAGACAAGTATCTCTGTACGCCCAACAGCACAGCATGTGAAAAATCTTCATCATGAGATTTCTGTTTCTTATAAAAGGTCCGTCTAATTATAAATGTTAAACTTTCAGGGAAAAGTAGCAGTGACTGTAGATGATTTGATGACTGGAGTCCAGTGGCTTCAGGAAACTTATGGCCCAGCCATGTTGGAAATAAGAGTGTGTCCAGGTAGCAGAAAGGATCTTGGTCGACCAACACGTTCACCCATTCAAAACAAAGCAGATTTCATGAATTTTTTATCATTAAATGCATATGAATAGTTTATCCTAAATCAGTTTATCATTGAATAACTTATTTTGTAAGTAATTACAGCTTTAAAATCAGTACGGTTTTAAACTCTAAGTACAAAGAAATAGAGAATTATCTACCTAACTCCATGGATATGAGCCCTTCTTGCCAGTTGTGCAGCCACTCAAGAGCTTCCCAATATTTTATGAAATCCAAAGGTTCATTACCATGTTCACAAGAGCCCTCTGCTTGTCTCTATCCTCAGCCAGATCAATCTAATTCATACCATCCCATCCTATCTGTCTAAGATCCATTTTAATATTATTCACCCACCTATATCTTGGTTGTCCTAGTGGTCTCTTTCCTTCTGGCTTTCCCCCAGTATCTTATATGCATCCCTCTTCTTCCCATTCGTGCTACATGCCCTGCCCATCTCATCCTCCTTGACTTGATCATTCTAATTATGCTCAGTGAAGAGAAGCTCATCATTATGCAGTTTTCTCAACCTCCTGTCACATCATTCCCTTTCGGTCCAAATATTCTCCTCAGCACCCTGTTCTCAAACACCCTGTGTGTGTTCTTCCCTTAGTGTTAGAGACAAAGTTTCACACCCATACAGAACCACAGGCAAAGTTATAGTTTCTTTCCAAATTTGCTATGGTCCATTAGTTATGGATGACATAATCAAATATTTTGTGTGACCATAACTGTTCCATTGCATTAGACAAAATAGTGTTAACCTTCTTTTAAACATGTGTGTTTGAATATGCAAATTGTTATCTCAGACTTCACTGAAGGCAGAGATTTTAAAAGTATGTGGTATTTTCCAGTGCCAGATCATTACTATCTATTTCAGATAGATTTGTCCATAAGTTCTGTAGTTAGAGGGACACATTCTGTAACATACCTATAACTGCAAGCAAAAATACAAAATGTGACTAATCTGGGATTCTGCCATAGCATCATATACACACGAAGTCCAGCACACTAGGCCATGAGCTAAACTGTGTTTCATTTTTGGATTATATACTACTACTTCTTCACTGAACAGATGAAATCAGTGGTCTCTTCTCCCTCTCAATTTGTAATGGAAATCTTCTTTTAGAATAACTGTATTTTGCTTTCTATTCAGGCATTGTACCCAACAGTTTCTGTAATTTGATGTGTGTTAAAAATGTATGTTACCTAAATATATCATGAATACCACAATATCTGTTAATCACCCTCCAATAAGAAAGCCTACTTTGTTTTATGGGAAGAAACTTGAATTTCTCACATAAATAACTGTTGTACTTCACTAATCTGCCTTGTTTCATTAACATCCACTTTAACATACCAGTACTGATTTGGCAGCTGATCACAGTGGCTGTGCAGTCTCAGGCATGAAATGTCTTCACCTGCTTGAACACTGGAATTGTGGGTTCGAATCCCACTCTCAAGACATGGACGCTTATCTGCGTTTATTCTGCATTTGTGTTGTCCTGTATGGGTAGTGGCTTTGCAGTGGGCTGATCCCCTGTCCAAGGTGTCCTACCAGCTGTCTGAGAAACTGAAGTGAAATAGCATTTCACAGATGCCTTATGCTCCAAGTGGGAGCAACAGGAATAAAGACAGATACATAGACTAATTTAGAGTGCTTGAGCAGTAGTATCTTTGCCAAAGAAGAGGAAAACAAAGTCACCAAACAAAATGTAATAACATAAATGGAAAAATAACAAATATCAGTTAAAAGACAGTTTTGGTGTTCAGTAATGACTATTTATTATACAACTTTCTGGTATAAGCAAAGTTTGTTCCTTATGACTTATGATAAATAATAAACATGAGGATAGCTGTGTAAGACTACAGCATATTTTATTAATAACAAGTGAATGTAATGTGACGGGGTAACCAGTCATTGAAACATTTATGAAAGCTGCTTTAATAGGACTGAAAATAAGTAGCTAAGTAATACAAAAGTATTCATTCCTCTGTAAGGAATGCTTTGGCTGGGTGTGTGTGTGTGTGGGGAAACTGTAAATGGAATAGTAGGTAAGCTTCTTATGACTGAGTTCGTGGCAGTGGCTCTTTAACCTTACGTGCCTTATTTTTAATCCACCAATAGTGTCAATATAGCAACTGTATCATCGTCTGTTAAGATAAGCAACTATGTGATATCTTTCATCAGTAACTGGGATGCCTTGGGAGCACATAATTAAAGTAACTCTTCGAAGCAGGTATAATGTGGTACAAGTCATTGCATAGAGTGCAGTAAGAATTTGAACTAATGTCTTTAGGAGTATGAGAGATCTGTCGATACAACATATAATCAATATTCAATCCCGATAACAAAGAAATCGGTAGCAAATATGAAAGTTAACAACACCGTAACATGAAAAATACTCTCTTCTGGGAGGTATGGCGTAGCCCAATTAAAGCTATCTCTGTAACAAGGCATGAAGGCTCACAGGGTTGTGAGACATCGCGGCTTCCACATTTTCTAGATAATCAGCTCACACATGGTGGTGAGGTTGTCAGCCAGCCTCATGTGCCAGCTGCCCTTTACCCCCAGGAAGATTCCTAGTAGTAATTTATGTTAGAGGTTGTGTAAAGCCCAGGGCTATAGTGCGGCTGGAAAGATTAGGTCAATTGAAAAACACAATGGCCTCATCAGAAATCGAATCCACTATATTCCGGCTTGTAGCATTGCCCCAACCATGCTAGCACATGCCTCGGTTAAGTTAACAGACGTTCTGGAAAAAGTACAGCCTCCATCTTCAGGGTTGAAGTGTAATCCAAGGAAGTAATCAACAAGAAGCAACCTCAACATTCTGCTCCTTGCTGGTTATTTCCGTGGCTTGCACTTTGACCTCGAATACTGAGGCAGTATGTTCCTCCAAAATGTCAGGGAACGTCTAGTAAGCCAAAAAAGCAACCAGTAATAAGTGGGCTCTGCTTCTTGCTGTTACTTGCTTGGCTTACTTTTTACCCTGAAGATTTTTGAAATATGTTCCTCTAAACGTTGGTGAACTTCTCCGGGACTACACGGTGTTACATCTCAAAAGACAGCATTTTTCGTTGTAACCTCTTTAAGAACATCAAATCCTGCAAGGTCAATTACTCAGTGTAGGTTCATTCGACAGGGAATAATTAAGACTGTCGATCTCGGCCCTTGTAATAAAGAAACACGAAATTCACATGCATAAATTTACTGATATGCGTTGATATTTATCAAGTCCGCGAGATATCAAAGTTATATAAATCTACTGAATGAATAAACAAGGGGTATTATATGTATATATAAATAATTTTATTATATGATTCAAAGTCATACTGTAATAGAGCATTGTACTAAAATACATAAGTTAATCGAATCTTTCTTCTTTTTTATCTTTTAACCAAAGAGATTATGTTTGTGAATGCTGAGAAACTTATCTGAATCAATTTTATGTCAGTGCAGAGGAAGGAAGGGTTTCTTCTTCTGCCTTAACTGCACTGCCATTTCCTCGATGTGCGATGCTCCATTCAATAACGTGTGTTTAGCACAGGCTGATAAGAATTCTCGGAAATTGCGGTTGCGTTGCGGTTGCCAGTTTCCTTGATATGCCTTCGCCCTTATCCCCCATGAAAACTTAGAATTCAGATACTATGATTGTTTATTGACGTTGCAATGTGAATAATATTGAAGCTTCTGTTTGTTTCCCTGCGGATACTAAATTATCGCCACACTACTGTGCTATCAAATCCCTTGTTGAAACGTTGTTACATTTCCTGAAGTATTTATACGAGAGAATTTCCAATGTTCTAAAATTTCAAGGACCTACAATTCATCCAGGGAGAATACTCGTAGCTCCCTCCAGCCGTGTTTTTTGTATTTTATTTCTGTCTTTGTCATTATTGACAGCTGTAAAACGTTCTGTTCTGAACACATTCCTTTAATCATTGACACGTAACGACCCTTCAGCATTATAAATTATTACAAGTCAAGTAAGTCAAACACGAAACAATTACTTGTACCTGTCGTGGACTGTTATTTACAACAGAAACAGTAATAAGCCTCACTAGGAATGCATCAGACGATGCCACTGGTTAAAAATTAATCACGAATCTGGATTATTCTTCCGTTAGAATTCTTGATCTTATCATAATATTAACTATATACAAACGAAGGTATAAATCTTATGTATGCATGCTGTTATTCCGAAAATTTGTGGAGAGTACCCAAACAAGTATCAATCGAAATCAGCTGCAAGAGACGGAAGTGGAAGCATTACGAAGAAACGCGCTCGTTCCGAAGTGAGTTATTACCATTCTTCCCGCATTTAAGTAAGGTGCAATTTCTGTGTCAATTAAGTAATATAAACCATTTAATAATCATGCCTAAAGCCTCTTCTAAGAAGGTAAAAATTATGCAAGAAACTGAGGAATTCATAAGCTCACCGGAATTATGCGAAGATGAATTTCCTATGAAAAATGGAGCAAAGTCACTTATGAAATCGAACAGAATCAGCAAATACGAAACAGACACGAAGTCTGGAGGAACTTATTGTGCAGTTGCCAATAATACAAATACTGATTTAGGAAATGATTTACGGAAAGTTCTGGATATGTTTGGTGCAGATGTTAATAAAGCTCTGCGAGCCAAGAAACAGCAACTGGAACAATACAGTGCAGGTAGGTTCAAGACTTGGTTATTCTTGAATGTGATGAACATAACGTAATTTTTTACGCCAAACTGAAAACAGAATTATTAATCTTGAATTAATTCACATAATGCTTTGGACTTTTCATCCAGCACTATTGCAGTGAGTCAGTTGGAGCATGTAGCACAAAATATATTTGCCAAAAGTGTGAAGAAGTCATAGGTGTTTATAGGTGGATAATATTAAAATGGATATTAATGAAATATGATGTGAAGATGTGACTAGTTTAACCAAATTCAACATAATGTCTACTGTTGTATCTTGTGAAAATGGAAAGGAATATTTGGGTTTCATAAAATGTGGGGAATTTCAAGTCTGAGTAACTTATCAGGTGGAAACAATTAGACAGTTCTCTAGCATTTTTAAGATTACAGTTTCTTGTTAGAATTATTTTAAGCGGCATAAATAAGCAAAGTAGTGAAGTGGGTTATATAAGATTACAAGACTTAATCTGGCAAATGTAAACAGTAAAAAATAAAAGAAAAATTGTGGGTGTTTGTATTTTATTTTAATTCACCATTAGTTTTGCTGAAATATTACTTAAGTATGTATTTCCTGGGATATGACACCATGTAATTTCTTAGAAAGATTCCAATGTTTTAAAGGAACTTGCTGACCTGTCTTCAGTATACAATAATATTTACTGCAATGAGTACTTATATAATTATTCTTGGTGATGCAGCACAAAATTATTTAATTGGTTATAAAATACATTTAATACACTTCACTAGATATTTAATTCCTATAAGACTAGAATATATTTGTGTTAGAGCAATGTTTAGAATTTAATTTCAAGATTCAATCCAGAATCTTTTGTTTTCTTATTTACTGTCTAAAAACATAATGTATGAAAGGTAGTTAGTTATTTAAAGAAGTGGAAAAGAATGAATGAACAAACAAAAATAGGATGGTTTATACAAAGGATGTCCAGAAAAATGATATAGTTTACTTACAATCTGATTCAAACCTTCACATTGTAAATACAGTATTTCACAGCCTTCTGTACTTTTGTGATATTTGGGGTTCTCACAGTGGCAAATGTTATGAATATTGTCTTCTGGGTTGTAACACTGTTGTAATCTGGTACAAAGGAACCTATTTTCAGAAAAACCTGAGTCATTTCTTCTATCCTGAAGGCAGATGATTCCTCTCACCACCTCAATACAACCCTGATATTTTTACTAGAATAGGATGTAATATACAAAATTACTTACAACCAATTGAGATGACAAATTTCCCCTAGGTGCAATGAAAGCAAATGAAACCAGAATAAAGGAAATGCTGCAATGTCAGTCTGAAGCAAGAATGCATCATCATGAAGAGATGTGCAGGAATGTTAACTCTGTTCTGGAACAGTGGAATGTAGATTTAGCTCATTCCAAAGACAATGTGAGTAGTCACATATATTGAATGGATAGCACTGATTTAAGAAATTTAATAACTGTACATTTAGGTGTGGCATCCATTCAAAATAGGTAATAATTGTAAAAATGTTGGCATATCATGGCAAAAAGAAAATGAATGTGCACCACTATGTTTATAATTGTTGACAGTTTCCATGCATTACCTGTTTTGTTGCTTTACATTCTAAGGTAAAGTGTTTAATTAATTAAGCACCATACCATGAAGACGTGTGGGAGCAGATGTATAGCTCCACCATTTCTGACCTTTGCATTAGGTGGAGGCGACTGGTCAGCTTCATGCCCCGATCACTTTATGTCAAGGGAAGGAGTCCCAGTACCTGTCGAATAGGAGTCTGGATGAACCCCTTGGTCCATCTGGACACTATGGAACAGAAAAATCTCTTGCCCATGCCAGAAATTGAACCCTAGCAATTCAGCCTGTATCCTGTGTCTATACTGACTCTGTTGCTTTACATACTACAGTAAATAATTACCCTGACAAATGTGTTATATTCTTTGAAAATCTATTACTATATGGAGTTTCAAGACCCTATATTGGATGGCACTAATGCTGCTCCTAGCTCACAACTTCATATTTCCAACATGTTGCTGCTATTTGAAAGTAAGGAAGCAAAAAAGTACACGTTTTGTGTAGCATAATGTCCATACCATTTTATGTGAAATTCAGTAAGTGGCTCAAGAGTTGAAATGGACATGTTGATGTCAAAGCCAGCTAAAAATATTACCAGTGTGGCTGTGCAACATATCTTCTTTCTTTAGATGAGAATGTAAGTTAGAAATATTTTAAAGGAAAGTGTAGAGGAAATTTTTTGGACCCAAAGGAGATGATGTGGGAAATTCATCATTTCTGCAGATCACCAAGTATTGTTAGGGTAGGAAAATCATGGAAATTGTGTAGCTTGGATGGAAAGACAAGAATACATTCAGAATACTGGTTGTGAACTTTTTTGTAAAACAGTAATTTTGAAGACTGAAAAGGAGATGGGAGATTAACATTTGATGGATCTTAGGAAACAGCAAGAATGAGAAGTGCATGGAAGTGGTTGTTGCCCATGTTGAATGGCAGGCTTTAGTGGTGTTAAACTTCCACCATCCACATAAAGTTGTTTCAGTTAAAGTAAATGGCTATGAACTGGACAGTCCAAATTCGTTTCCACTGAAAGAGTTCGAGAAATTCTGTATTCAGTGCCATATATGTATGTATGTAATTATTATTATTAAAATACATTTCTTTGATCCAACAGTCACCCCGTAGGGCTGGATATAAAAAATTGTCATATATCATGTCAGAGACAAAGAGTCACATGCAGTAGAATACAGATACACATTAAATGTAATATGTAATATCTAAAGTACAAATTAATAATAAATCAAGCCTCTTGGAAAAAAATACAAGTTGTCAGTAAATAAAACACATAAAAATATAAAATAATGAATAAGGCCTTTTGCAAAAAAGTGCAAGTTGTCAATCCAATTATAACAAATTAGAAGGGGGGGGGGGCTCACCCAGCATTCTACGCAGTGGTGTTAGAATTCTTTTCCTGGAGATAAGGCAACCCTCATGGTTCCCATATGTCTGCATGAGTTACATCTGAGTATAGGGAAGGCTTTGTTACAGTATACAAGTTTGATTAATTCAGACTGTTGACTTGTTTTGTTCCAGGAAGAAAAAATGATTAAAATTGTGCAAAAGCAAATCAAAATAATCCAACAGAACCGTACTTCCCAACTTCAAAGATTAGCATATCTTCGCCAAATTCATGAATCATATCAGAAGGTAGGTAGTTGTAATGCTTTGCAGGAATCAGGAATAAGATAGAATTTATGTGAACTTTTTTAAATATTAAGCAATGCATATTTAAATTTACAGACCACCTCAGTGTCATAATGGACCATTACTGGTTTACAGACTGATAGTTGTGATCAAGTATGTCAAATTGCATTCTGTGTAAAATAAACTCTGGCATAAAGCCAGTTTCTTAGGAAAGCTATAGTGTTTAAAAAGTCTTAGAGTTTTCAACATAGTGAATTTTATAATTCTCCTTCATTAGTATGTGCAAGCACATCTTTATTTATTTATTTTTATCTTCAGGAGGAATTAATTTAAATCAGAGCATTATGTGTTGTTCCATAATATATTTTTCTGTACTACCATCAACACGCAAATAAAAATTGATGCATGATGCATTGCGACTAAAAATTAGTCACCTTCAGGTGCCTGAGATGTGGTTTGTCTAGTAACTCCAGCTGTAGTCTCTGTTTACATTTCTGACTTTTGTCACCTAGTCAAAGGTCTAGAATCCATTTCTGAGGTGGAGACTCCAACAGGGCAGATTCTGTTATGAAAGTGGTGGTCAGCAGAAGGGACCTACAGGTTTATGTCTGCTTCAAACTACAGGGGTCAAGAAGGGCTGGTATTCACATTCTCAAAGTGTTTTCTTTGGTAAAGGTGAAGGTTTCAATATGTAAGGAGGGCAGTCCACATAGATCTGACCAGGGCTGAAACTCAGAGCTCACTGAATGAGCCTGATGTCTTACCCAGAGACCATCAGGTACCCTAGTTTGTGTGATACTAAAACAGTAGTACTGCAGTTATATTGTCACAACAAATCATCACATTTAAAACTCATTAGTTGCCTTTGTACTTGATAGAACTTACTCACACTGTGATTCAACTTAGAGGCCATCACATACTGAAAACCTGCTGGTAGTCTGTGCTTGGATAAAACTGTGCAACTGTGAACTCATTAAATTTGTTTATTCTGCATGTTGTGCTCTCATTCAGTAAGAGATTTTCTGTGTAATTTGGGACTTCTGTTTGGCTACTGTAATCAGTTAAACCTGTGTATATCTTTAAGGTAAGAAGGTAAAGGTAAAGACATATGGGGGGTGGATATATAGCTTCACCATTATAAATCTTAAATTATATGCAAAATCCCTTTCTGCATGACAGTACAGCTATAAACAAGAACATCATGTAAACAACATCACAACAGTGTACAGTATGATTTTATGAAGATGTAGAGTTTTAGTCAAGTGCAATCATTACCAGGAGGTTTGAACCCACTAGCACACTTTGACAGCCGAGAGACTTTTGCCAGTTCCAATCACATTAACGGTGTTGAAGGCTGTACAGTGTCACTGGGTGCAAATTTGATTTTGTTTACATATCTGTCAACAGATGTAATCCTGTATATAATTTCAATTATGATTCAGGATCAGTTGACATTAAATCTTTTTAACTAATTCCATTTTGTTATTTTGAGATATCTAAAGAATATGCAGATTTGTTGAATATGGTTATTTTTATATCGTGTAAAAATGTGACTCTTCCGTTGCTTTAATATAATGAACTCCTGAAGGTAGATAATCTTTAGTTAAAATGTGTTTATGTATATCAGTGGCTGTGAGGAAAACTAAGGCAACAACTTGGAAGATAGAAGTATGAAAATATTGCAATTCCTGAAGTGTCTGGACAGATTCCCGTACCCACACACAGTTGAGACACTTAATATTGCAGCACCATGAAATCAGTTGCTTTGTAGAAGCTTGAGTTAAATTGATAAATGCTGTGTTTGTAAAGTGGTCTGCATTCTTGGAGAGTAAAGTAATAAAGTATACATAACAAGATTACGGTAATCTGGTATGTGATGCCATGAAGCAGTCTGCTAATTAATGTTGGTACTTGCATACCATGACATTGCATTCCAGGAGATTCTGATCTTAATATTCACCACTGTGAGCATCTCAGATTAAGAAGTATACACAGTTTACTAATTGCCTTTGCTCAGAATTTCTTACAGGAGGAAGCCAAGCAGAATGACCAGTGTCTTAGTATGCTGCAGGAGCTTCGAAGGGAACTTAATGAGCTGCAGAAGAAGATGGTGGTAGACAACCAGAAAGTGGAAGTAGCACAAATGCAAGAGGCCTTAAAGAGAAGCGTGTCATTCATATAACATAGCAATTGAAGTTCCACAGCAATTAGCAAAACTACATGATGTTAACACATTCAGTCTTGGAGCAATACGTTCTGATTTTTAACTATTTCTATTCATCAGAATGGGAAAGAACGCTTTCATCATATAACACAATATTTTTTTCATAAAGGAATCCAGAAACTGTTCTACATTCGTTTTAGAAACAAGGATGTTTCATAATATGCTGATGAGTTCATAGTTTCGTGTAAAATATTTGCTGTTTCGAATGATTCCAGTAGGCATTAAACATGTTGTAATAAAATATATCGTTACCCATTCTTGGGTATGAAAATTAAATAATGTTATTGTTTGTCATAATTTTAGTTAAGTTTAATTATAAAAGTAAATAATTAGCCCAGTTTCCCTTATAAATGCCAATATAAAATAGTGTCAGTATTCACAGAATTGTTGAAGTAATACCAATCTTTCTCTTATCTTTGATACAGTTTGTTCATCACAAATCTTTAACATTGAATAAGCTCAGTTTTTTAAATGCTCTGTGTAACATTAATATTTTGTAGTTTAAAAACCAGACATTTATTCTATGTTAATGTATTTTATGTTACCTCAGATTAACTAGTGTATGTATTTATAATTTCAGTCTGTGTTAATTGAACTTAAAGATAAAACAAGAGCAAGAATTGAAACTTGAAATGTGAGTTATGTTCACTTGTGGGTTATCAATATTACTCTTTTACATTTTAATAAATTCAATAAAAACTACCACAGAATATCTTGTATCAATCAATAAGCAGTGTTAAGAGTTCTTTCACTTCTGAATTAGTAAAATTCAGCTGAAATCTTGATACACAGTATATCAGTTTGTTTTAAATTTATTCCAAGGCATATAATGTTACTTTTCCATTCCATTCCATTTATTTTGTGTCCACGGATCATTATACATGATATAAGACATGTCATTCTTGTGTAGTTATAGTATAATAAGTTTCATGTTACTATTGGGGGGGAGGGGGCTGCATGTGAAGCATGCAGTGCAACGTGGAATTTGGGTACCAACTCAGCATTTGCTCTGGGACCAAGGAAAACCACGGAAAACCTTGATCGAATTGGCCGGTCACAAGACCTCCCAGATACACTGGTTTCTAGCAGCACCACTCCCACCGCCTCGGCTAAATATCCCATAGTCCCTGCTGTGTTTTCTCCAGCACATGGCATCCTGTTTCCTGCAAGAAAAGAGTTACGCAGTATACACTCCTAGTGTGTGTTAAGCTAAGCTCAATTGTTCTTACTTTTAAATTATTATATGATCCTAATGTGAACTAAGTCTTGTCCACATAGGAGAGGAACTCATCTATGCTATAAAAGCAATGTTTTAATAGAAATGTATTAGTATACAGTATACAGAAACCTTTAAGCAGTGCAAATGAAAAGAACTGTATAACACCACTACTACTAGTATGTGATCAACTGAAACATCTGACATATGTTAAAGAGTTATTCTTCACTTAGTCTTGCACTGACACTCTTTTGTGCCACTGCATTCATGTACAGTGAACTCAGAACTGTCATGATTGTCAAGTCAATGTGAGTTACAGATTGTGGTCTTATGATGTGATCCCTGTGGTTTTCATAGATAGGTACCAGTGTGTTAGAGATACCTACTGCTTGCATCTTCACTCTTAACAGGATGCATATAAAGTGCTCTGTTTAGTCTACTGTGCAAACTTATCGTCATGAATTAAGCAGACATACTGTGCTGGAGTCTATTTTTTTACTTCATATCGATGGATCATTACACATGATATAGGACAAGTCAGATACTTTACAATACAATAAATAATAATAATAATAATAATAATATATGGGAAAGCTGAAGAATTTTAATTATTTCCTTTTATTGGATGGAAAGCACTCAGAGGCAGAGCATACTGACTTGTCCTATATCATGTAACAATGATCTATAGAGACGAAATAAATACATACATACATACATAATTCAAACTTTCGTACTTCAAGAAGTAATACAAAATGATAACACAATCATGATACAGTTACGAGTTTCATGACATTCTACAAACCTTTTTGGGCAAAACTGAAAGATGTAGAATATGTTGTAACACAAGTACTATGAAGACTTACTTCCATGCAGTTATTACAGAGATAATTGAATGGAATACTCACCTAGCCTATGTAAGATTTTAATAATTCGGATGAAATGTCATCATAGCCAAGATATTTTTAGGCTTGTCAGAATTCTATACATTTCTAATTTCATTCAGTGTAGTAGGTGTAAGATTCATATACACAAATAATATGTCTGATATGGAGATGTAACTTCTTGCGTAAACGTCAACTCACGTTTCACAATGACATAAAATCGAAATCCATACTTACCAATCAGCAGAGAATAAGCAATAAAATATGTAGAAAGCAGTCTTCTGGGATTTGGCACCGTGTATATGTGGTGTTAACCGACGTTTCGGAGGAACGTATCGCCTCCATCTTCAGGGTAGAAGAAAAAATATATAAGAAATCTGCAAGCAAAGAGACCGTGAGAACCGGTAAAAGCAGTCTGTCTGTCTGTCTGTCTGTCTGTCTGTCACAGTCTGCTTTTACCGGTTCTCACGGTCTCTTTGCTTGCAGATTTCTTATATATTTTTTCTTCTACCCTGAAGATGGAGGCGATACGTTCCTCCGAAACGTCGGTTAACACCACATATACACGGTGCCAAATCCCAGAAGACTGCTTTCTTCATAGTCACCGCCGTGAAAGCCTCAAATCTTAAATAAAATATGTACTTTCAAACACCTGCAAAAACAGATCACGACATATCATATCTGCCGCCAACGGAACACAAAATGTAATTACTTTATAAGAGGTTCTGTGATTGGTTCAAACAAATGTGATGGTACATATATTGTGATTGGTGTAGGTATGCGACGAGTTTTTTTTTTTCTTTTGGCGAAAAGACGTGACAAATGACAGTAGTGGTGTGCGCAGATGACGATTGCATGTGTTTTTATTTCTAATGTAACAGTTTATGGGTGAAGAAGAGAAGGTTGTGTTTTAAGTTTGTTGGTTGAATACGAAGTTTTGATACTATGCCTGTCCCTCTGTTTCCTAGTTTGACGCCAAAAGCGACAGATTCTCTGTGGTTTAGTGTTGACAGACCCTGCGACGATGAAAGTGAGCTTTTGCAGATGGAACAAGAACATCAGGCGTGGGTTAGTATACTATATGTAGCACAGTGCATTTTTGAATATTGCTTGTTGTGCATTGGTGACAGGAGAGATGATTGCATGCTAGTGTCTGCAATAAGCGATAACCAGATTTCGCTTTGTAACCAATCGAAATAAATTTAACATTAGGAGCCATTATCCGACTGCGTTCTTAGAACTAGTGCAGTTCATCCCTAGGGACTGCACGTCACGTATAGTTTACAAAACGTTATATCAAAATCACATAGCAAAACCAGGTTATGTGTCGCCACATAAAAAATTGTACCAACATGTTTTAAAATTATGTTAATATCCGTGTAATTATTATAAGAATGTAACAAATTGGACAAAATAAATCAAGGGGCTGACATCTGCACACTGACACCACAGGGATCCAGAAGGACAACCAGACATTAAACAAGAAGCAACAAAAACATGTCAATCTTAAGATGCATAGAAACAAGAAACCTTTTAACTGATAATGCTCAAACATGTACAGTTGTAACCTATGCTATTGTTATCCCTGAATAGCTCATTATACAAAGATCCATAGCAATTATAAAGCAAACTCCTTTTGTTGTTGAAACCTCAGAAAGTGGCCCCAAAGGAACGAAACATGTAAGACCATATAAATGGATTATTTATATTAAATTGTTTAACGATGGATGGCTTGTTATTGAAAGATAAATACAGTTGTAACGGCAAACATGCCTGATATTAAAATATCATTGCTTGTAGGTTTCATTCTCATAAGCATACATAAGTTAGCGCAAAAATAGGAATATTCATATTTTGTTTGTTTTTTACCTCTTTGGGCATATCGTACATAGCATAGCAAATAGTAAAAGTGTCTTTTTGGCAGTAGTCCTAAGTAAGCATATTTTTATAAAATTTATTATTAAGAACTTGCAGCACATCTTTACGATACAGTAACTGGTATAGTTATTTAGAACGGTTTGTGACAGAGCTAGTGTCAGTAAAAGAAGGATTGATGTTTTCATCTATTTAAGTGTGTGTATGAGTTTATAGATTGACAGCACTGTTTGTAACTCAAGACTACATTGTGTTAAATGAATGGAAGATGGTAAGTTCAGAAGGATGTGAAACAAAGCAGGCATGGCCTAATGTAAAGAACTATTCTGGTGTTAGTGTGGAAGGACAGGAAAATGACAAAAGACCTCAGAATAATCAGTATCCTGCCAAGATTCAAACCAGGAACCTCCCAGATACAAGTCAGAAGTATTATTGCTCAGCCATTCTCTCATATTTGTGTGCTTATAGAACATAAATATGTATGAGGAAGTGGAGGAAAGTTTTATATAATATTAATGTCAGAATTAGGAGGTGAGTCATCAGCTTCATGCTCTGGGTACTTTATCTCTGGCAAAAATTTTTCTGGTGCCCACTCGATAGGAGGCAGATGCAACAATGAAGGGAAAAATCATTGCCATTTCAGAAAATGTAACTCCTGTCACCCAACTAACTGCTAAACAGTTTACTCAATTTTTCTGGTTCATTATGTTCTGGCTGTAACTAATAATGTCTCCCTTGTTTCCCTTCCAGATAAACAGTATAGCACAAGAAGATTGTGACCTGATTCCTATCGGGAAATCTGCCTCAGAGGTATTTGAAGTGATATAGAATAAAGGAGTTATCATTTTAATCTGTATGTATTTTAAAAGATGTAGCCACGTTATTGGATGTTTCAAATCAGTGTTAGAGTTCATTATTTGTACAGTGTATGTGATTGTGAGTTGAGTGTCCTTAAGAAATCTAAATTAGACCTTATTGTTTCCTCTGTCAAGAAATTATCTTCACTAACAGAGGATCCTAACCGATGTGTTTTAGACAGAGGATTCCTGTCTCTTAAACTACCAGAAGAGAAATTTGTTGCAAGCTCTGTATGTATGGGAAATTTTGGACTTTTAGGAGAAGACTAACTTCTGTCACAGCTTGTTGATTTCAGTGTTGATAAAGATAAAAAAAACGCTTTTGTCTTTGAAAGTACAAAACTTTCACATATAAATCATGCATGAAACTTGGTCATTGTAATGAGAAGCAAGATCACAACAATTGAATGCTTCCTGTGTACTGATAAAACAATGAAAGAAAGATGGAATAAAATGTAATAATGAATAAGGGATTAAGAAAGGTAAAGGTATCCCTGTATCAGGCCGTGGAGGTCCATAAGGTTGTTAGATGTTGAGGGTCCCACATTTTGTAGACCATCGGCTCACAGATGGCGGTAAGTTTGTCAGCCTAACGTGCCGGCTGCCCTTTACCCCAAGAATATTCCTGGTACTCATTTCTGTTAGAGGATTAGTCGACCCCAGGGCCATAGTGTGGCTGGAAGGATTAGGTAAATTGAAAAAAATCCACCTCATCGGGATTTGATCCCGCGACCTTCCGGCTTGTAGCATAGTGCCTCAACCAACTATGCTACCACGTGCCCTAAGGGATTAAGAAAGCATAAGTAAAACTGTCTTTTGGGGAATTGGTAGAATCATTAAGTATCAATTTATTTGTAACTAAATGCATTATTTTTAGATTGGAATTTTTTTGTATTTTCTTATCAGCTGAATCTTTGTGTCCCATGTTGAAATATATCAAAGTATGTAGGGAATGTATGTCTGCAGAATCAAAATATTTCACTTAGTTCCAAGGTATTGCATTTCTCTGATTTCACAGGATGTGCACTTCCTCTCCCCTCACATTAATATCTCATCTTTTTTCTTTCTGAGGAAGGATTTGAGTTTCATTATTTGTCTTATAAAACACATTAGATTTTCAAGACAATGTAGTACCATTGTCTACAGTTCCAGTAACCACTGTTGTAAGCCTTTGAGTAGTTACAGACTGCATACATCATTCAGTATGTAAATTAATTTTTTCAGTAATACTTTTGCTGCTGCTGCTGCTGATGATGATATGATGATGATATGTGACTTTACATTGTGTATGAGAATTGAAGGTATGAACAATTTTTACAGCATCTTGAAGAAGAGGAAGAAGATGATGAAGAAGAAGATGATAATGATGATGACAGTGACAGCCATGATGATGAAGATGATGAAGAGTTGGACATGGAGGTAACCTATGAGCGAGACTCTCCTGTGGATGTAAGCATCCGTCTTGGATCAGGAGCGGGGCATGGTGTCAGATGAACAGGTTGAGACCATGTAGTTACAGATTCTGTTGTATATAAACTGGTTAATAAAGTGAGTCAGTCATTGTATTTGTGTGTGTGTCTCTCTCTCTATCCAAAGTTCTCCCTGTTCTTAATAAATTAAGTACCACACCATGAAGACATATGGAAGAGTGGAGGTATAGCTCCACTCTTGATCCCAGGACTAGATGGAGGTGAGTTGTCAACTTCAACCCCAGGGAAAGAATGCCTGTCAGCTGTTGGGTAGGAGGCTGGGTGAGCCCCAGAACTAGTCTGGGCACTGCAGAGAAGAGAAGAATGTCTGCTCTATTAGCAATCAAACCCTGGTAATCTGCCCTGCAGATCATCATTATACCAACTGAGCTGCCCAGGATTATCATCATAAGTTTTGTTATTAGAAGAAAAGACGGAACAGGGCAAAATTGGTGGTCCACATGGGAAATTCATTCTGGAGGTCTGAATTCCTGATGTGTGGCTTCATTTCATGATATTGGAGGTTTGATGGAACAGCTGTGTGTTAGAATGGAAAACTGTAATCCTTTTTTATTCTGTTCAGCATTTTGATTACAACAAAAGAAAACAAAATTCTGTTCGGCACATACAAATTATGTAGAAGGCAGAACCAGATTTCTCAGTTCACATTTATGAAGAATCTGATGGTGATTGCCCCATCCTTCTTCTGATGCCTAATTTGCATAAGGGTACAGTACCAGGTCTCGCCCCATAAGAGTTTATCTCCTGGAACTGCCATTTTAATATGTACTTCTAATTTTAGATGATGTGAGTAAAGCATACACTTCTAATTTAAGAATTCTTATTCTGTTGCACACACCTACAAGATATTCATGGGATTATTTTTATTGATTGCCTCCCCCTCTTCTCTCCAGCTTTACCTAAAGTATTTGCCTGTGTTTAATTATTTTACACGTATATTTCTTTTTGACCTCGCTGCTGTATTATTTTCTATGTAGCAGTTATTTAAATACCAATTTTGTCAAATTCTACAGTCCTTTTATGATTGTAGATAACCCCAAAATATGTCTTACTGCACGTAAAAAAGAAACATGAATGAGTCATGTATGTTTTATTTCACTGGCCAGTTCCTTCAGAGTACCCCATTTTTCAGTATACCCTTCCTTCTGTATTCATTTTCCACAAAGTCAAGTAATATGACAGTGACATATATAGGATTCAGTAGTGTACCCATATAAATCTTTTAGTCTTACAAAATGTGAGGAATTATTTGACCAGCTGAAGTGACTACCAGTTTCTCAAGAACCGCTTCATCTTTATGGAGATTTTTACAGGAGGCATATTCATAAATCATTACATATACAGGCATATGAACTCAATCAACTGATAACATGAACAGATCACAGATATCCCACCTCCCAATTTAAGACCACAGAAGGCGTCATTAGGTTGGTGAGATAGGTGCTGTGGAGCCAACCTACTCACACTGTTGCAAATAGGAAGGAGGCAATGGAAAAGAAACAAAGGAGGGTGAAGGAATAAGCTGTTGCTGATGCAGCCAAGGAAGACTAGGAGTATGGGTACACTAAAAGGGTGGAGTTTATGGCCTGAAGAGGACAGTGTTCACAGGCCCAACTGTCTCCAGAACTATGTCACAAGAAAACTACAAGTGGAGGCCTGCAATTCTTCAGGGACTAGATAAAGGTTTCCCTGACTTGCTGGAATGTTGGGATCTCTTTGTACTCCATCTCAATACAACCCAGAAGACTGCACTCTTCCTACTCACCACAAGAACTCAAATCCAATGTCTCCAATCAAGTTAGAGTGTATCACAATATAATGTTCCCAGCACAAATCTGTATAATGTGGTCGTTGTAGCTCATCTTGTATGAGGAGAAATCTGAATGACCGGCCAGTAGGCATAGAATACATGGAACAGGACACACTCTCTCTCCCTCTAAACAAGGCCTTTGTCACTGGAGACTATTGACAAGAGAGAACAAGTCCTTTACAATACTATAGAAGAATATATAGTACATAGGTACATGTCTACATGCAATGTAAACAAGACTTCTGTCTCTTGAGACTATTGATTAGAGGATTCCTTTTTCTTTTACAAGCCCTTTACAATACTATGTACACATATAAACCAAGACCTTTTTCACTGGACGTTTTATTTATTTGAGGGCTTTAAATGCTTTAAAGTGCCATATAAACATACATACATACATACATACATGTGCACAAATAATATAAACAAGGCCTGTCATCACTTTAGACTTTACTGATCAGAGAGTCCCTTGCTTTTTTAACAAATCCTTTACAGTGCTACACACACATATATATTACAAACAGTGCTGTCAGTAGCATCTCCATACAGCAGACTGTGCCAATCCATTTGTCCATGGCCACATTCTGCTTGCGGTGAGATGGCTTGTTTGTTTACTCTTTCAGACAGTCTAAAAACAGATTCACAAACTCAGATACCATAATTTAAATAAAGACACCTTACAATTAATAAATTATATTTTGTTACATGTAATATGCTTGTTAATTCCTTGTACCGAGGCTATCTATTCTCTTCTTCTGTTTGGGGCTGCCAATAATGCTCTGTTTTTTTAACTCATACCTAAAGGCAATAGCTTTCACGGTTTAGAAATATATACTCCAATCAGGTGCGGTGTTTTTAAATTATACAATTAAGTCTATAGAGAATGACCTTAAAAGTGTCCAATAAAAGAGTCCTGTGCATGGATTATTATTAATCTGATTAACGGTCTTTGTAAAAAAACGCGACTTTCTTTGCTTTCTTAAATTATTTTACAGGATTGAAATTTTGAAAATGGTGCCTTTACTAACTTACTCATGGAGCTTACTGGAGGAGCCACCAATTCTGCAGCTACTCAAGAATTTCCCAGCATTTTATGGAACCCGAGGGTTGCCTTATTATTGTAAAATTTTGTTCGAGAAACAATTTTAAAAAGTCATGCATAAAACTGACCTTCAAATTGAGGCCACAAATTTTATTTTTCCAACATTGCCGCCGCGTTTACTGCCACCTATCTCACAGGAGATCAACTAAGATAGCTGGAGGCTTATCGATTAGGATGAAATGATTTCCTGTGTCACGAACGTCACGAACAGACATGTTTAGCGGATCAGCGACCTCTTTGAGTGTGCTGGTCTCCCGTTCACGAAACTCGTAAATTAAACGCCTACGAGACATTGATCGACATGATCGACATTGATAGGCAGGTCATCTTAATGCAACAGGTAGGCTGTATAGCTGTCATTCTGACTTATGGTCCATCATCATTCATCATTTCCGTACCGTTCCTCACGTTTTCCACGTGGTTCGTTCATTCAGACTCACATCAGATCATCGAAAAATGCGGGAGCACGATAGCTTGCGGTATTAGGATGTTATGGTATGGTAGGTATGGTAACAGGATAGGTGTGTGCCGGAAGATGGGCATGAATTTTAATTGCATTCCAATGTGAAACTTGAGCTTATAGTCTACTTTCAACAATGACGTTACGACGTCGATTGACATCGACTACTGGTTTATTTCAATGGGGCCTACATATTTCGTAGAATATTAATTGCTGAAGATAACGGACGGCTTCTATAAGGCACAGTATAAATCCCTGCCGTTTTCGTGAATGTTTAAGAATTGCTGTTTATTTTTAGAAAACTTAAAATTACTCGTAAATATCAGAGAAACCAACAGGTAAACATATAAAGTAACCGAAGTGACCTTAAGTTTCCCAGAACTCTGTGAAATATGATAAACCTCAGTACCACATGATGAATTGTTCTTGAGTAGGATGCTAAAAACTGTTTTTTGAATATTTCCAACAAATTTGGGGGGAGGGGGTGGCATATTCAAACTAAACATTTTTGTGGTTTCAAGTGTCTAAAACTTTCCAAGGGAAAGAAAATTTGGTAGAAGTAGGTTCAAAGGTAAGGGAGTGAATACAGCATTTTCATCATTGATTTATTTGCATTGAAAGCAATATGAATATTAACACCCTTAAAGCCAATGTATAATTCATTATACTCATGAAACTAACAGTATCCATTTTATTTACAATGTTAGTGGTCTTGTAATTGTACTACTTATTGTGTAAAAGATCTTGTTGATAGATAGTAAACTGTATTTTCATTTAGATGTTTGCCAAATATATTTCATTTATCTAGAATCTGGACAGTGGCCCCACAAAATACTACCATGATAGATTACCGTCATCTGAGATGTAATGCATTGTGTTTTGGTAGATAGCTATCAACGTTCTGGATGAAGGTGCTGCTTCCATTGTCATTGTGTCTCATTCTTCTTCCTGAAGATAGAGGCAGTAAGTTCCTCTTAAATGTTAATACCTGTTTACCAAACTACATAGCTTCACATCCCAGAAGATAATAATCTTCATAGTCACCCAGTGAGAATCACATATCTTACCACCATGATACAAAGTCACGGTCATAAACTCTTAGAACCATAAGAAATCCATGATCTTCCACAGTTTCACCAGGTGACTGAATGACTAGTGTCTTTAAGACACCATAACCGCCTCCTAAAAGAAGACTTCTTTCAACATGCATGTTTGGAAATTTTCTTCTGCTTCATCAGCAAGAACAGCCCATATGGGATTTACTGGCTGGCCCATGTCCAGTCAGATTCAAACTTTCTGACAACTCAACTCCCTGTGGTCCATCCTGTTGCATCACAGCATCCACAAGGAACCTGTAAAATATGGTGTTTTAAAATTTATAAATTGAAGTAAGAGGAAGCAGCGTGTGGTGTCTGTTGGATAGGAGACTGCACCTATGTAAGAATTTCATTCTACAGAGTTTCTAAAAGATGGGGACTTCATCCTGTGGTAATTTTATTTCATGGCACTGTAGAAATTTAGATTATGTAGTGTCAAATAATAGGACGATGCTGAATAAAGAATTTGGAAGAAAATGTTTATGGCTTAGTCGAGGTACCATTCCATCATTTGCCTGAAGGGACTAAGAAAAGTCAAGATATTTGAGCATAGTCAAGACTCAAACCAACCTCTTCATGGATACAAGTCTGTAATACTGTTACTACACCAACCTACTCAGCGACAGCAGCTTCAGTTCTTCTGGCATGCTTTTACTACTTTTGGAATCTGGGCAACATAAATAATTAATTCCAAATTATTTCTCATAGACTCAGTGATGATACCCAGTGGGTTTACACTCATTTGGCCTAACCTGTTAAAAATTTGGTAACATGAAAAATTGGTCATTAAAAATCTTTAGAAGCCTAAAGGTAGAGTGAAATTGGAACAGTAATATACAGTTATTAAATAGATGGGTTATTGACACAGGTAATATACATATACAGTGCGTACAATCAAGTGCGCGCTGCGGCTGCAATTTGNGTTAGTGTTTCAGTCCTTCAGTGCAACATGTGAGCTTTCTACAGAAACTATGGGGTTTATTGCTGGGAAGTCTTACTACTGTAAATATTTGTTTCTGTTTTTGTGTTCTGCTGAAGCACAGGATTTTTTTGTCCAATCTGAAGTACCAGATTTGTCAGTTGGGCCATTGATGAATGTGGATTGGATACTTAATTTATGGCTGCTCATTATACTGACTGGACTCAGTATTATGTGCCATGGGTTTTGTGAAATGTGAGTGAAATTTTGTTTTTGTTTTTGTCACAACAGCCCAGAAAGTATAATTACTTGAAATAGACATGTAACAGCCTGAACAGTTGCATCATTGTTGTAAAATGTGCCATCTCTCTGCCAGTGTTTGGTTGCAGAAAAGTCCATATTATAAGTATCAATTAAACAATAATATACTTAAAGAAACCTTCCAGTCAGGTATCATCATTTGACTTTGACTGTATATGGAGGCCTGAGAAACTTAAGTGTATAAACTGATAATTAACCAGTTAATGAGATGCTACATTTTGGGATCCATCCAGTCAGGAGGAAAGTTTCCCAGTGGAGTGAATAATTAAGAGTGAATGGCTTTGTGCTGATATTATTATTTGAAAATGAAAATGAGGTAATTGTGGTGATTTATTACCCTGCCATAAACAAATTAGCCAGTTTTTGCTGTTAAGTGACAAAACAGTAAATACTACAATATTTATACTTTAATTTTACAGCAATGCGATGCTCTTTGTGACTGAGCTGGTGTCTATGTTTTATTGTACCAAAGAGTGTTATGAGCTAACAGTGCTAATCCAACAGTAAAATGACAGTGCAGTATAACTAGCTTTCTCAGTGCTAGGCTTATGAAGTTTAACTGAACACTTAGTTAAAGAAGCCAGAAAAGTAGTGACAGTAGTTGTTAGTTAAGCAGGAACCACAAGGGCCTTCAGCTTAGTGAACGGCATGGTCAACATTATGAATGTTTCTTATCTCTTGATAGTGAACCTTTTAAGAGACATTTTTATGGATTTTGGTGCAAGACTGTTCATCAAAGTACAGTCAAAGTGTAGATATCACAAAGCTGTTGATAACAGAATTAGAAAATGAAACCAGCGTATGTAGAACACTAAGTGACCACCTGGAATCTCGTTTTACTTCACACTTTGTGTATGTGGTAAGAACAAGAATTTAATAGGAATTGATTAATGTATTTTACAATTTCTGCTTTTTTATGAATGATTAGTTTTATTAAAGGAACATTCTCAGTTTAGTAGATTATGGAATACCAATTACATGTTTAGCCACCTCAAAAGTACTTCCCTTTTCTATGACTCAGTCTGTGGGTCATGAGGCCGCCTGACGTGGGTCACATAGTTAAAGTAAATGTTTATATGTAAGATTTGAGGCTTAAATGTTTATATGTTGGAAAAATCAGAAAACTTGTCTGTTAGACTAAAATTCAACTTGTGGTGCATTTATAACTGTGACACAGTTATGTTCAGGTGCATAATGGTGCTTTTAAGTACTGCTGAGTTCAAATTGCTGTTAAGTGTTTTTTAAAATGGTCAGGACTGAAGTGAACTTGTTGGTAATAAATTGGGGTGACACCACTTTACACATTCCCAAATTCTGATATGCTATAAATACATTTAGATGTGTGTTTGATCACTGGAAAATTTCTCATTTGAAATAATTTCTCACTTCATGGAATCATTCACCATAAGACCATCTTTTGCTGATGTTTCTGTCCAGCCAATGAAATTGTGTTCCTTGTAAAGATCCTCAATTTCCATTTGATGAACTTGCCTGTATGGTAAATCACACTGCAAAGGAGAGAAGAAAGAGATTTTAGAACATGCCAACTGTGACAACATGGCCGTGTTCACAGGTCACAACCTAATATTATTGAGGTGCATACTTTGTAAAAGTTCATGAAGTTATTATATAATGAGGAGGATGTGGCTGTCTGCCTGCATACTTCACTTCTAAAACTGCTGAATGGATTTCAACCAAATTTCTTACTGGATTCTGCAGTGAAAGTTGCTAGTAAATTTAATATTGGTTTTTATAGTGCACTTTGAAGTACTTCAAAATTTTCTGTAACATTTATGATTCTGTTTACTTTGTTGTCACAGAAACAAATGGGTGTGAGTTAGTTTAATAGCTAGTTATCTGAGTTACCAAATTTGTTTATCAGAATGGCATGGGCACATAGTACTTATAAGTTCTAAAACAAACAACATATTAATAATAACTCTCTAAGGTCACTTATAATATGAAATATATGGAGCTTTATTTATACATGTCTTACCTTGTTTGCCAGGAGTATACAAGGAATGGGTCTGCCATCTGGAAGAGTACATTTTGAGTCAACATCTCTTTTCCATTTTTGTGTGTTTATGAAAGAGTTTTTGTTGGTCAAATCAAACATGATGATGCAACCATGAGAATCTTTGTAGTATACTCTTGTCATCCATGTAAATCTTTCTTGACCTGTCAGTAAAAGCAATAACTCAGAACTTGAAAAGATAATAGTATTCTTGCTCAGAACTGTTATATGGAAAAACATACACCAGAATTTCTGTAAGGGGAAGAAATATGACTCAGAATTCACTGTTACATATGTGACCTGTTTAATTTCAGTGCCAGTGTCGTGTTCATGTTACAGAATTTGAAGAATCAAAGACAATAGCAACAGTAAAACGGCTTGATTTTACCATCCACTATAGAATTTCTGGTCTGAGAATTATATGATCATTTTTTGAAATCTATTATGATTATAATTTTTAAAAAATATCTTGGATTTTGCATGTTATTATGTAACATGAAAGTGAATTCAGAGAACATTTGTGATTTAGAAACTTTTCATGCGAAACAAATTATATCTTACTTTAAGAATAGAGTGTTGTTCTTATGCTAATAACATTGAAACATATGGCAGAATATTAGTTTCAAGAATGTGTTCACTTATGCACATTAGGAACATTCCACCTCCATCTTCAGTATACCCTAAAGGTGGAGGCATGAGGTTCCTCTGAAGCGTTGGTAGCTATCTACCAGTCTGCATGATGTCACACCCCAAAGGACCATAATCTTGATATTTTGAGTTCCAAAGACCGCTCTTTTTTTTAATTGATTAGGCAAGTGGCTAAACCCAGTACTAAGTGAAGAAGTGACTTTTCCAATTAACTTCTTCCCTAAATCACGTCTTGCAGACACATTGGAAGCAGAACAAGAGACTGAATCTCTGCTCTCTCCTTTTGTGTGTAAGATGTGACAAGTTTTATTCTATTGCTCAGAAGAATGTTGCCTAAACTTTGCATCTCACCAATCAAAATTCCCAGTTCTTAACTGATTGTTAAAACTCCTGGTAGGGAACTGACACAAAACATCAGACTATTATCCCATGGCCACAGACATAGAAGGGTCAATGGCAAAAACTGTAACACTGTGCCCCATGTTAAACTGCCAAGGCATAAAGAAACATTACTCAGATATAATAGTTCAAAAGTTTATAGTTAATTAAGAAATTCTCTGCTGCTAAGAAAATTCATAACTGTGTTCACAAAACCTGTCATCATACCCTGTCATGAAGCAATTAAATGCAGTTTGTCCCCTCACACCAAGTTTTCCTAAGTTCTGTTTAATATTATCCTCCATTCAATGTCTCAGTCTCTCTTTAAGTTTCCTGACCAAAATTTTGTATCGGTTTCTGATACCTTTCATGCGAGCATGATGTTTTCCAGAGGAAGGTTGTACAAGACAACTATGCAGATTTGAGTCAACATTAAGAAAGTTGAAGAATAAAGGAGGAAGGAAATTTAAACTAAAAGAAATGGATAGAAACTGCTGAGCTTACCTTTTCTTATTACAGCTTATATTTCAGTCCCGTGGGACAATTTTTTCCCATGAAAGTATCTATAACAGAGTTGTAGAAGTCTTGGAATGCTTTGCATGCCTTAACGAATTCTTTTCATCTGTCATTAGTGTTAACTTAGTGAATATTTCCTTAGTCTGCATGCTCTGTAGGGATGCATGGGCCCTCTTCAAAGCAGAAAATGACTGCATGACAGACATACTGGTTGTTGGAATGGTTAATAATGCGGCAGATAATTTTGTAATTTGTGGTGATGCCATACTGAGATTTGAAGTGATCAAAAATTTCAGCAGGTTTGATACATTACATAGGAAAAATTTATCCAGCAAATCATTAATGGATTGGTCGGTTTTCAGAAAAAGAGACCTAAAATACAGTCCATATGATTCCAGTAGCAACTCATACATTTTTCAGGGTAGTGTTTAAAGTTTTCAAGGTCTGGAAGTGAAACAGACTTCAGTTCGAGACTTTCAGAGAATCAAATGTCCTAGTGTCATTTATAGTGTTGCTTATTTCACAGTACATCTGACAGTTCTATATTCTTTATCCTCCTATGAGCAGCTCTCACTTTTAGGCCACTCTTTTCAAAACTATTGCCTCTCTGTGTTAAAACGTTCTTCCACTTTTATGGAACTGTAATTGATAGATGTCATTACATTTGCTTTGCTTAATTTTTGAAAAGTTTTTTAGCTTGTGACAGTACTCCTGAAAATACATTCAAGTAAAAATTGAAGCCAAAATCTCGAAAAATATCATGGTATTCTAAAGCAGAAGTGCTTGTTTTAATGCCCCGCTGCTGCTTGCAAGCAGCTGAATTGAGTCATCATTCCTAGATTACTTCTTTTGGCTTATTTTGGACTTCACCCATCGTCCGGTATATAAAAGAAAAAACCACGACGTTTCGGAGACTGGATCTGTCTCCGTCTTCAGGTGGATAGGGAATGTTAAACCTACTCAGTTGGGCCCCTTAGAAAGAACTAGTCTCAATCACTGGACCCAAGGGGCCCAACTGAGTAGGTTTAACCTTCCCTATCCACCTGAAGACGGAGACAGATCCAGTCTCCGAAACGTCGTGGTTTTTTGTCTTTTATATACCGGACGATGGGTGAAGTCCAAAAGAAGTACAGTATACACCATCATCAGAATCCTTTCAAGTCCATTCCTAGATTAGTTAACATGATAGCTTGAAATGTCAGGCACTCCCTTTCCTCTCAAGCCTGTGCTATAATGTGACTCTTGATTGAGCCTATGCTGTCAAAGAGCTAGCATAAGTCTAGAGGAACTGGTTAACAACTCCTGCAGTGGGCTGGCTGGGGGTGGAACGATTTCTCCTGTCAATATTTGGAGTACCACTGAACCAAGAAAGTGGCACTTTTAATTTTATTTTTAAAAGTGTAAACTTGTGTAACACAGTTAATACGAATGTTCTGCCACTGACCTTAATGATTTTCAGTGAAGCTCCTCATTATGTAATTGTCTCCATGATAATACTTCCTGTTTTTAGGTCCGAACATTCTCCTCAACATTATGTTCTCAAATTCTCAATGTATATTCTTTCCCTAGTGTCAGAGATGGAGTTTCACACCCACACAGATAAAATGAAAGTTTTGTAAATTTTAAATTTCAGGTTGTTTTGGTAGGAAATTGGAAGGCAGAAGATTTGCAGGTGAGTGGTAGCATACATTCTGCGGATTTAATCTACTCTTTGTTTCCTTCTGAACATTTTCGCTATACAGAAATGGTAACATATATTTAATTAATTCCTTCAACTATCAGGTTACCATAAAATAATTCATAAGATGCCATGTTATATGAATTAGTTAATCAGGCTTCAGTACAAATTACGAATAAGAGTGCTGTATCTGTGATAAGAACATTAATATTTCATGTTAATATTCATAATATAAAACACTTACCTGCGATATCCCAGAGCTGTAATCTGATACTTTGTGTCTCAGACACTTTGATAATCTTCAGTGCAAAATCAACACCCACTGTCCCTTTATAATCATTCTTGAATGTATTCTGAATGTAACGTTGAACAAATGATGTCTTTCCAACAGTAGGATCTCCTATGATAATGATCTTGTAAAGTTTCTGGGGTGTAACATTGTATTCTGAAAAGAATGGCCATTATGGTTTTGGACTTGACTGTCATCAGATTTTGAGGCATATGAAGGCAAGACAAAGGGTTTGCTTGACTGCAAGCCAGTTTATTAATTCATGGTGTGGTGTCATTCTTTAAAAGCTGACAGTTGGTGAATAAATTCCCTTGCTTTTTGTAGGACACTAAGCTTCATTATTGTGTGAACAAGGACTCAAACACTGGACATAATCCTGATCCATTTGAATCCAGCTCACTCTCATACAATTTTTTCTTGAGACACATATTGTTGTTATCATCATTATCGTTTTCAGCATATTTATTGTGATGACTTATTCAATTAACTACTCTTAAGTATCTAATTTTTGGTGATGATACCAAAGGTTACAGTGCCATTAAATCTTCTGAATATTGCAGTACAGTGTAGTCTGACATTGATTCTGTATGGTGTCAACGCACTGCTATTTATGTGGTGCTGAGCATCACTAAACCCAGAATTATATCCTTCTCAAGAAAAACTAATGACTGATCTACGAGTATAAACTTTGTCAATCGTCTGTCACCTGTAGTGACTCTATTAACAATTTAGAAGTATTTCATGATTCTGAAATTCATTTCCATAATCTTGTTAACTGTGTTTATTTTCACTGCATTAAGTTCAAGAACATGTATTCTTCTTTAGGCTGGGGGCCAAGTTTCATATTTTATGAAGGGAGGTTCATACCTTTAGCGACCAGTTCACAGCTCTGAGCTTCACGGTGACCAGTGCACTGCTGGCTGTGAGGCACATACAAATTTTTCCAATGAATTACTATGCCTGATGGCCAATAACGTTTGGAATGAAGGGGATTTATTAACTTTGTGGACTGCTTGATGGCATTATGTTTCATGGTGAGCAGTGCAGATCATGCATGCGAATTTATATATGATTTGTCAGCAGTGGGTGGCAGTTATCAGCTCCATTAGCCATTTGTTCTCAGTTACAATTCAGAAGCAGAGCAACATGTGTTTCCTTATGACACCTATGTGAAATACAGATATACTAGAAAATGTTGGCAAAATTTAGAACAACAGGTAAAATAGCAGTTTGTATATTTTATTAATACTTATTTTTTTTTTAAATAGGATACCAGGAGGCAATGGATTATGAAGTCTATGGAAGCAAAACCAATTGTACATATAGTCTATACAAAAATTTCCTTGCATGCTGTTTCAGTAAATAAAGATAGCAAGCACAATAGATCACTGTAGGTCGCAGTGCAAGGGCCGAGAAGGCCCACCCCTTATACATTCATTCATTCAACTAAAGATAACATTAGTTCCAAATTGACATTTCAGCTGTAAGACATGCAGTTGAATGGAGTAACAGGGTGAATTGGAAGTGATGAATATTCTGTTTTAAATTTTGACCATTTCCCATGTGAAATATTATTAGCAAATAGAGTTATATAAGTTACCATTACCAATACAGTAAACCCTGCCTATAATGGAATTATATATTTCAATTTCAGGTGGACATCCATTTAACAGAGATAATTCCTTCTTTTTGTAAGAAATATATTCCAAGTATTTATGACTCAAATCGCAATTTAGAAACCTCATTTCAGGTTATGGATTTGTATGAAAGCTAAAGTTATTCATATAACAGGCCGTGAAGACCCACGGGATAGTGGGACATCAAGGCTCCCACATTTTCTAGACAGTTGACTCACAAATGGCAGTAAGGTTGTCATCCTTACACGCCGGACACCCTTTGCTCCCAGGAAGATTCCTGGTACTCATTTCTGTTAGAGGCTGAGTCGACTCCAGGGCCTATTGTGGCTGGAAGGATTAGGTCAACTGAAAAATCCAATGACCTTATCAGGAATCAAACCCACAACCATCCTATTTAACAGTGTGGTCAGTAACTCAGGCTATATAGCACTGAATGGTTGGATGATAGTGAATAATTAACTGGAAAGGATGTCAAATGGATTGTGATTTAATTTAGTTTACTATTGAAGCATTTGGGCAAAGGGACTGAGGAAAATCACAAAAAAGCGACCTTCAGATTGATGTTCAAAACAAGATTTGAACTGAGCACCTCCAAATTCCATGAACTGGGAAAAATTATTTTCTCTTAAATTCTTGTTTTTCGATGTCATGCCCATGTTACAGAGTTTCCATTCATTAGATGTAGTTTTGCATTACTTTTCACTCGGTGACCCCATTACTGGAAAAATTTTCGAATAAAGGCAGGTTTCCATTTGAACTAGGTTTTCTTTTGGCCAGGACTTACTCTACTATAGTTACAGCAGCTGGTTTATTGTTCCTCTTAACACTCCCTCCATATGCACATATTACTTATATACTCACGTGTCTCCATTGCAGGATGAAGTTGAGTCTTATTTTCTGGATCACTGCCCTCCTCTGGTTCTTTGTTCTCTACAGTTCACTTCTGTTTCTTCCTAATGCAGTTCACTTCTGTTTCTTCCTAGTGCAGCGTCTTTTTGATTAGTTTCTCCCAGACAAGGCGAAAATATAAGCTGAGCCTCCTCAGACGTGTCAAATCATGCATCACAGGCCAAGGGCAGGAAGAAGCCATACAACTTTCATTGAACCACAATGTGTAATACAACCCTCCAGCCAAGGCTAGCAGTAGCCAAGGTGTTTCTATACATATAACAAGCTGTATTTATTTGATACTGTTCTTAGTGTTGTTGATGAAGAATCATTTGCAAAATTATGCATTCTAATGAATATGAATGTGCTTGTGTTCGTGTGTAACGTATCCTTATTTTTAAAAAACACATTACGTTAAATTACCATTGTATTATGCACAAATTGCGTTTCTATACATCTTCCTAACTTGTGTAGGTGACAAAGAGTTTTCTTTTGTGTGAAATTAAACAGCTATATGTGTGGTAAATCTTTATTTCACAGCATTTAGAAAACTCCATTTAAATCCCATAATTCAGTATGCATAACATATATATTATAGAATACATTCTACATTTTAAAATTCTAAGTAAGTATTCCTAGGCATTTTTCCTCCATGAGCTACCAATAGTAAGCTTCCCAAGCCATTTTCCAAGTTTACCTCAAACAAAGAGTCAGAATCTCACAGAATGTAATATCTGATGTTCATAATTTTTCCCTGTGGGCCCTCAGTGTTTATACCTGTCACCAGTCATATACATCTCCATTTTCTATTTCAAGCATTGTATATGGTATGCTGTGCAATGGTATACTTCAACATAAAAAAATCTGAATTACAGAATTGTACTCTGCAAACTTTGACTTCAGCATTTGAGAGCACGTTTACTTTCAGAAGTGAGAAAATGGCTTTAAATTTTCTTTTTATTGTGATATCACATTGTTGCACACATAGTTTGGACATGTTGCAGCATTTGTTGCACTGTCTTATGTGTCACTCAAGCATTGATAATAACTAACTCACTTCATGGAGCTGAGCCCTTCTTGAGAAGCTACCAGTTGTGCAGCTACTCAAGAACTTCCCAACATTTTATGGATCCTGAAGGTTCATTACCATGTTGACAAGAGCCCTACACTAGTCCCTACCACCTAATCCTGTCTCTCTAAGATCTATTTTAATATTATCCACCCACCTATGTCTTGGTCTTCCTAGTGATCTCTTTCCTTCTGGATTTCCCACCAATGTTCTATATGCATTCATCTTCTTCCCTATTCATGCTACATGCCCTGCCCATCTCATCCTCCTTGACTTTATCATTCTAATTGTACTCGGTAAAGTGTACAAGTTATGAAGATCCTCAATATGCAGTTTTCTCCAACTTCCTGTCACTTCATCCCTCTTTGGTCCAAATATTGTTCTCAGCACACAGTTCTTAATACCCTCAGCCTATGTTCCTTCCTTAATGTCAGAGACCAAGTTTCACACCCATACACAACCACAGGCAAAACTACAGTTTTGTATAATCTGGTTTTTATGTTTTAAGGCAACAGACAAGATAAAAGCTTCTGGACTGAATGGTAGTAAGAATTATCTGAATTCAGTCTCCTCTGTAATTTACTCCTGAATCAAAACTTGATTTGTTACTGTCATTCCCAGATATGTGAATTGGCCACATTTTCAAAGGATCTGTTACTTATCTATATGTCATGATTTTGGCTTGCATTCTGGTGATGAGACAGCGACATGTACTTAGTTCTCTCTCCATTTACTTCTAGATCAACCACCTTTTTAGTGTCAAAGTTTTTATGGTTTTGTTTATGGTATCTCTGTTATCTCCCAATAGATTCACATCATCAGCATAGATCAGTAGCTGGTGTGTCCCCTTTCAATTTCAGCCCCACCTGCTTTTCCTGGACCTTCATAATGACATATTCTGAAGCAAAATTGAAAGCAGTAGTGATAAAGAATCTCTTGTTTTAGAAAATTTTGGATAGGAAAATTATCAGACAAATGTTTACCCATTCAGTTATTTTATTATTTCGGCCACATTATTATGTTCAGTATTGAACTTGGAAACCTGAGTATGTTTATTGCTTTTCATGTGTTATTAAATGCAATCTTAATCTCATTAACAAGAGTGTATTTCAGATTCCTGAGTTTTATCATACTATTGAAATTCAAATATAAATAGAAACTTCAGTATTATTGCTTATTATACATGATTTATTTCACAGTAATGTAACCAAAAGCTATGTTCTGTGTAGCTGTCAAGTGTAAATTGTGAGCAAAGTTATGAAGTTGAATGAAAGTATCTCTGATGGAAACAGAATTTTCTTCCAAGTTCACCCACCTTCAGCTTTCCTAAATGCAAGTATTCTGTGCATGTTATAGTTTACAGTGTCCATTTCATTTCAGTAGGGCGGTGTTGGATTGATGTAAATGAAATGTCCATACTTTGTGGGCAGTAGTGAGAAACTTTCTCCTGATGGATATGAGTGACATCAAACTGAGTTCAAAAAAGAGAAAAAAAAAATGGAAAAGAGCCTCTGTAGTACAAGAGATCATGGTTGAAAAATTATTTGTAGCTGCTCTTGTGAACTAGTTGGCCCGGTTTGTTGTGTAAGGGGGGAGGAGATATTCATACACAGAGGCTGGTGATATGATAGGGTACCTCCTTATAGACCTTGCTATGGGCGCTTATGGGTGCGATTTTGCATCAATACACTTGCAGCTGAATTTAGAAGCAGCATTTGTGCTTTCATGATATCATGACTGCTACTTAGCCAGGCAATAACATTGAGGTGCCAAGGGCTGATGCCTGTAAATAGAGAAGTTGACCCTCCATCCAAGAGAAATTTAACACTTTGCTTTGCACTCCATGGTGGTTAGTGCACTTTAATGTAAGAGTAGTTGAGAGTCCCCTTACAGATTTTTCTCAATGTTGGCAGGAGTTTGATGGCATCGCTGTGGAGAATCACACTTGACCATTTTAGCCAGCTGGAACAAGGAGGTCCTGTGTGGACACTCGCTTTTGGGTGAGTTTTTTGCAAATTGAAAATCTTGAATTTGTATTTTGCTTGGCTAATGCACGCGCATGAACTGAGTTAATGTCTAGTGTGTAGTAAGCAATGCTGCCAATGTTGGTAAATGTATTGTGCTTGAGAAAACATTTTACATGGTGAAGGACGCTATTTGTCGTGAAGTGAGCAAGGAGCATGCAGGAATTCCTCAGGTGCCCCTTACATGTCACCTGTGAGAAGCTCAACTTCTTACCAAGGAAGGAGCGCGCAAGATCATTTCCCTTCACATGGCTATTGTGCACCAATCATGAGGTGGCCCAATGGTGAAGGTCATTCTTCTGTGAGGGGAACATTACTGATTTTGGAAACAACAGTGCGAGGGGCAACAGCATGGTGCAAATTGTAGGAGAATTGTAATTTGTGATTGTTGGCAGCGCTGGAGGGGCATCAGTGGATTGCTGTCTAAGCTGCCAAAGGATGTGATGGGTCTGGGCTTAACAAGGAGGATCCAGGAGGGGGCCCCCTCCTTCTCTTCTGCATCCCACCTACGGGGCGTGCATGTCACTGGGTGCTAGCAGTGAGGAGTCTTTGAAGCAAAGGTGTGTTGTCTCGGAAGCACTGAGTTTTGAAATTTCCGTAGCAATGGAGATTTATATTGTGATCTTCTGCGCCAGGACACTGTGTGGCTTGACAGGTGGGTATATCAGCCTGAGTTATGTTACTCTGAAATGCTGGGCATCCTCCTAGAGGACTACATGATACCCTAACCCACAAAGGTGAAATAATGGTCCTTCTTGTTCACTCCTTGGCTTGAGGGCTGTGTAAGAACCCAAACTACCTTTATGACAGATGCTCATTCTTCTTTCCTATTTGTCTTATACCTTTTTTTGATATCAATCCAGTTTAAAATGTACAAATATTGCATTACCTTTGAGCAAAGTTCAAAATTAATTTTGTTTTTGTTCTTGTAGTTTAATGGCACTCAGCATACAAGAGCTGTGCGATGTTGAGTATAAATTATTTTATAAGTTGAGTTATTATGAGCTTCATAAGAAATTCCCGAGAGATCGATAATCACTCTTATTGATATCCAAAATGGCAGTTTGTTCAGTGGTTAATGGTGATATGCAAGTTTTCGTCAATGATAGTGAAACAAGTGAGGTAATGAGTGCTTGTTGTCGTAAGTTTAAAATAGAACTCAGATCAGCACAAAAAATTATTGAACTGCTACAAGAAGAGATAAACACGCCAAATCATACGTAAGTACAGACTTGTGTTACTTCCACAGCCCAAACTTANAAAAAAAAAAAAAAAAAAACTAAAACAAAAAAACTAAAAAAAACTGGGTTCTTGTGTTCGTGAATCTCCGCTGGAACATCTGGCTAACCTGACTTACGTTTTTTCATGGTTTTTCACAGTACCACCAGGCAAATGTTGATTGGACTTAGTATCCCTATTCAGGTGACAAGCACCAAGACTTTTGAATACATTATTTACTAATCATTAGCCATTTGATATAACATAGTTTCTCGTACGAAGTGTATTGTGAAATCATGAAAGGAAATGTGGTGCAGGAGCAGTTTTGAATGTTATTAATAATCGGACACAACTTTCAGCGCCAGGAGGGATACTGTCCAACATCAAGACTGAGCCCAATGACAGCGAACTGGAGCTTCATATAGCCCTCAAGAAAGCATGGAGACTGAAGCTGCAGGAGGCTGTTACAGAATCAAAGAGCAGTGTAGAAAAGGTACATCACATCAGCAGATTTCCTTTTTAATCCTTCTCACAAATGTTTGCCTGTAGTTGGGGTCATTTCTCTTCAGAGATATTGGGTTTTCGGACTTTATTGATCGTCCTGGTTTTTAAGATAACTAAGAAAAACACGATGTTTCAGAAACTGGGTCTGTTTCTGTCCTCAGGTGAGGGAAAACACCTATTCTGTTGGGTCCCTTAGAAAGAGCTAGCCTCAATCACTGGACCTGATTGAGGCTAGATCTTTCTAAGGGACCAAACAGAATAGGTGTTTTCCCTCACCTGAGGACGGAAACGGATCCAGTTTCTGAAACTTCGTGTTTTTCTTAGTTATCTTAAAACCCAGGATGATGGATAAAGTCCAAAAACCCAATATCTCTGTGTGTTATACACCATGGTCATAATCCTATAGTAACTACTTGTCATTTCTCTTGTTCAGTCAAGGCCATCTTCCCCTTACCTGCCTCTCTGCTTTTTCTCTCTGAGACAAGAGAGGAGCAGCGCTATTGATAGGTGGTGGGAGGTGATGAAATTGTCCCTAGCTACAGAATCCTGTGCCATGTTTAGTTCCTACACAGTATCTCCATATGTTCCAGTTATAAAATGTTGCACAGAACTTTGTAGTAAAGTTCATTATGATGTTTCCTCCTTGGTTACTGTACAAAACCAATTTACCATAGAGAAACTATATTGTAATTTTACCTGAGGGCTATTAAATTGTTACTCTCACAGTTTGTTGTGGTGGGGCTCAAACAAGTAAATCATATCTTAACATTTAGGTAATATCATCATCCTTTCTTACTGTGCTACAGACTGAAAGGTCATGGGTTCGATTCCCAGTTAGGTAATTGGATTTTTAGATTGACTGATTCCTTCCAGTCACACTATGACCCTGGGGTCAGCACAGCCTCTAACAGAAATGAGTACCAGGGATATTCTTGGGGGGTAAAGGGCGGCCAGTGTGTAAGGCTGACAACCTCACCGCCATCTGTGAACTTACTGTCGGGAAATTATGCGAGTCTCGACGTCTTGCATCCCTATGAGCCTCCACGGCCTGTTACAGGGAGAGCTCTACCTTTTTTTATACTATCATCCTTTCTTGTATTGTGGATATTGAGACCTGTTATGGCTTCCTGTTAAATAGGCACCAGGGGCTGTTTCCTTGGGTGTGGGAGTGGCATGGAGCTGGCCACTCACCTCCATCAAGAGCATAAGTAATTAAGCATAGGGACAGCTTTGCACATATGGATACTACAAACAGAATGCTGTATAGCTACATAATTTGACTGTTTGTGATTTGTGATGTTTGTAGGTGGCAGAGTCAGTACTGGAGAGACTCAGAAGGAAATATGGAAGGTGGTTCCATTGTGCTGAATGCTACTGCAGAATTCTGCTGTACGTTGGGTGACGTCCCCATTTATGGTTTGGCTGGCAACAGGGATGAGGACGCTCAGGAACTACTTGTGAGTGCAGTATAACCATCTGCAGCTAAATGTACACTTGGCAAGGCACTTTGATTTAGGATGTGTCAAGACTAGATAGAGTCCATTGCCCATCTACAGTTATTTACTGCAGCTGCAATAGAATTAGAATGTATTTTAATTACAGTTGAATTCCATGATAATGGATATATAAATTACTGAACTGGAAACATCCAACAGAAATCCTAGAAATGAAAGCACTCGTTATACAATAAGAATGTGATAGTTGAGATGGTAGAACCTTTTTCTTCCTCTTCTTGACAAGTGGTACCTTCTGGAATAAAATGCCATATAATGTGATAAGGTCCATATGCATTTTGAAGAAATGTCAGTTGACTTACAGGGTGTTACTTCCCAGAAGACAGTGCCTTTCTTAATCTTCTCCACAAGAATCTCAAATCCAGTCTTTTTTTCCCATCTTTTATTTCTTTTTTCTCCCTGTGCCATGTGCATGATACAAGGGTAGAAAACACACTGCTAGGAATTATATGTGAAATTGAAATAGGGATGAATAAATAGCTCAGAACAGAAATAAATGAAAAACCAGTAGCTTTTGTAATTTTATTCATTGCAAAATACATTGTATGTTAATCCTCAGAGTATCCTCATGCAAACTCAGAATTAGTTTGGCAGGTGTACATTGCTTGGCAGAATGAGAGTATGTTTCTAATAGATCTGTAACTTTAAAGCATGCTATGATATTAAAAAGATATTTTGGCAAAGAAGTTTCAAGATGATCAGTATAGTCAGAAGAATTCTGTCTTCTGGTGTATCATCTGAATTTCCAGGGGAACATGTCACCTGCTTCTTCAGGGTCAAAGAATAAACGAAACAAGAAGCCAACATGAAGCAGGTAGGAAGCTTGGCTTTGTTACCTGCCAGTGCTGGTTTCTTACTTGATTTATTCTTCAACCCTGAAGATGGAGGTGACATGTTTCTGCAAAATGTCTGATGACTTTCGACAGACCACAAGGCATTATATTCAAGATGACAGAACTCTTCAAAACCACTGCTGTCAGAAGCTCCACTCCTACACAGTGTAGTCAGCACTTTACAGTGCGGTAATTTTTTATACAGTGGTTGGTGGGTAAGCAGTTCAGATTTCAGACTAGCTCAAGGTAACTTTGAATTGGTAATTTTTGGACTGCATTTGCATTCTGCTAATCTCATACAAAATTTATATTACAGGAATTTGAGAGGCAAATGATTGAAGAGAAGAAACGTCAGGAAGAAGGCAAACGTGGAGCTTGGAATGAAGTTGAGATTTGTGAGTCATTAGCAGATTCTTTATGTGCAACATAGGCCTATTCAAATTAAGAGATATTGACACTTTAGTATTGGTTTTAATTGTGCGTTTATATTTTAAGTATTTCATAAATGGTGTACCATATTTAATCATATACTGCAGTTTTGTTATTACTATTTACTATTACTATTCAATATTAGTTGCTGTAGGATAGTTGGTTGAGGCACTATGTATGCTACAAGTTGAAAGGTCATAGGTTTCATGCCTGATGAGGTCATTAAAAATTACAATTGGTCTAATCCTTCTAGCCGCACTATGGCCCTAGGGTCGACTCAGCCTCTACAGAAATGAGTACCAGGAATTTTCATGGGGGTAAAATGTGGCTGGTGCGTAAGGCTGACAACCTCACCACCATCGATGAGCCGATTGTCTAGAAAATGTGGGAGCCTTAATGTCTTACAACCCTATGGACCTCCACGGTCTGTTACAGGGATAGCTTGGCGCATAAGGCTGACAGCCTCAGCGCCATCTGTGAGCCGACTGTCTAGAAAATATGGGAGTCTCAACATCGCACAACCCTATGGACCACCACAGTCTGTTACAGGGATAACTTTACTTTTTTTTTTACTGTATAGTGTCTTGGTATGTAACGAATGTCACTCATGAAGAATGCCGTCTTCTGGGATGTGGGACTATATAGATATTGTGTAAACCGATGTTTTGGAGGAATGTATCACCTCTATCTTCAGGGTATAAAAATTCAGAAGCAAGGAACTAGCGTGAGCAGGTGGCTGCAGACTAAGTCACCTCTAAGTTGTCCTGTAGCTGTCAAGTCCTCTCTGCAGCAGGCCTTAGGGAAGAGAGTTGTCATGGGCACAAGGATTGGCCACTTGCTTTGATTATGGAGTACAGTAGGAGATTCTGAAGGGTAAAGAATATCTGAGCTTTGAATACTTTGTCATCCCCTCTATAACTGGATTGCAAGTCTTGTCTTATCTCTCGGGATTGAGCCACTTGAGCATTAGGGAGGTGTACATGATGGTCAGGACAGGACGAAGTAAGCAAGCAAGACTAATTAAGGAATTTAATATACAGCATTGCTTTATCTCTTTCAGAGATGATGAAAAGTTTGGGCGTTGCGAGCGCTACAGTGGTCTGACCTCAGACTTCAAAGAAAAGGAGGGCTACAAACCAAATGTTAAACTCGACTACATAGATGATGATGGACACGTATTTAATGCAAAGGAGGCTTTCAGGTTAGCACAGATAATAGCATATCTGTTTTTAAGATAGGTCACACTGTGGAGGGTAGCCTGTCAAATGGTAGTACATTCTTTAGAGCAGAAAAAGTTGTGACAGTAATTGCCATTAAAAAAAAATTCCAAGGAGGAAGCAGTTTTACAGTGGAAACAGACAAAATGATGGGACTACTGTGTTTATCATCCATGTGCGCCATCCTCACGATAATGTGTGAACCAACATGAATTTATGTGAAACTCTGTATTTTCATCGTGCCACTCACATGTTCTTTTAGTTGTCTACCATCAGCCATATTAACGTGGTGACTGAGCTGGAAGCAACACTAGAGCCACTTAAATTAGGTCCTTAAGAAAGAGGTCCTGGGGTAAGCTGTTATACCCATTCAGAAGGTTCTGAGTTCGCTCCCCACTCGCATCTGTGTACAGATTTTTGTGCTCACAGATAATGCCTTCACATCTACCGTAGTTCGAGCTTCAGAAATACAAAGGATANNNNCCCCCCCCAATGTGTTAGAGCCCATGTTAAATTGTAGCGTCCTTCTGCTGACCAGCACTATCATGATTACCCTGTCATGGGTGGTGAGATTATTGTCTTCCATCTCAGATATATACGTATTTGTTTTGACTTCCTTTTCTCCCATTCTGTATGTGACAGTTTGTAACTAGCCAACATATTGTGACATTTGAGTGTAAATACTTTGTACTTGATATAGTTTGTTGTGTATGCATAGAATGTGGCAGAATGGTTCATTTTGTAGATAGGTTGCATTAATTAGGAAGAAACATGCCTCAAAATTATTACTATCCCATTGTACTTTTATTAAAATATTTTATGTTAATCATTTCAATCCCTATGACTTTAAATGTGCTGTAGCATGCCCATTTCTGGTTATTGGCTGTATTAGTAAGTTGTGTTAGAAAACGGAATGTTACATATTTTTATTATTTCACAAAATAACAGATTGAAGTATATATGGATCATACCCTTTTTTCTGTCTGAAACTTCAGGATGAAAGGATTTTACGTGTTACTTGGAAACATGACCACATTCTGTAAGATCCTAAAATACAGTGACTTTAATGTTGTCTCTATTTCTAATTTCAGATACCTGTCTCATGAATTTCATGGAAAGGTACCTGGCAAAAATAAAGTGGAGAAACGAATGAAGAAAACTGAACAGGAGGGAGTGAGTATCAGTCCAGATCTGGTCATGAGCTCTTATTTCTAATACAAGC